TCCATCTCCATCTCCATCTCCATCTCCATCTCCATCTCCATCTCCATCTCCATCTCCATCTCCATCTATCTATCTGCATTCCCATTTGGATTTTCAATGACACTCTATATCCACCATTCCAGGAGGTTTTTTTCTTTCTCTGCCAGCTTCCCACAGTGGGGCTTGGCCAGACATCTACAAACCGGACCGTTCATTTGAAACCTGACCCGGCTAATGTTAGGTCTCTGAATTTACTTGCCTCCTTTGGAGTGATCCTAGGCCGTGCCTCTTGGTCAGACCTAACTTCTGTGAGTTAAATTGGTTTTACTTTTGTTGCAGAGGCATTTATACTTTGCCCTTGCAGTCTAAAAGAAGATTCCCAGCAAAAGTAGAATAGGTTCAGGGTAGGATCCCATGCAAATTGTTACGTTTATTTCCACCCTGGCTGTTAATCTGCATTTCCCCTATTATGGGAACTAAAGCTCATTGATATCCATGCTTCTTTCAAGACAGATTGACTCTAAATTGTTCTGACTACTCATAGCATGAAACTGGGTGGTCTGTTCTCCACAGAAATGTTGCTTGTCAAATTTATTTGCAGTTGCTTTCCAGGTGTATTCTGAAGCTGTTCCTAAGGCTTCTGAGCCTTGGTAAGCTAGGAATGAACTCCTCTTCTTCCATATGTAAAATTAACATTTGAATGCCTGCTGGAAAGCAATCGTACTGTCTCCCTGTTCTGGATACTGTTGGAGAGCTCCAGAGGACTTTCTCCATGGCTGCTATTCAAAGATTTTGAAAACAGGACCTTTGTACATTTCTACGGTGGGGCCCCCTTCTCCTGCAAATCGGCTCAGATTTGTTTTTGAAATGAAAGGAGGAAATATTATCACCTAGCCTAAGTCTCAAGCCTGGAGTGGGTTATAAATCTATGACAATATTCAAATTCCAGCATCAAAAGTTTGCAAGCTCTTCCAAGGCATGTTGAGTCGTTTCCCAATAGGGCTACCCTGGACAGGAAGCTCAGACGATTTGTCTCTTGCTCATACCTCTTCCAGCTCTCCTGGTTTTCCTGGTTGGTTTTCCTCAGCTTGCTGCAGGCCGCGTTGTGCTGGAACTGATCCTGGTTTAGCTTCTCAGGGCCCCGCGATCCCCTTCGTAAGCTTTCAAAGGCGTTTGGAAGCCAGGGAAGTCAGATTCAGGTGGCACTTTGAGCAACAAGGGAGGAGGAACCTGGGTCCTTCCAGATGTTGCTGAATTATAATTCCCATGAGCTTCCACCAGGAGAGTTGTAACGTGTCAACATCTGGAAGGTCATGAATTCCCCATTTCAATTTCATACAGCTTCCCACCTGCCCAGGTAGGACGTGGTTTCCTTTCAGTTGCAGATGGCAGTACACGGATGGCAGTACACGCGCGTGCACACAAATACAAAGTGTTCTCTATGAGCAGATATTTTGTTTCTGAGCTTGACCATGTGCCACAGGAACAGAGAATCTCCAGCACATTAAAAATGCCTCCCAGCATCTTTAATTCATTTTTCCAACCCCCAAAAGGTCTCCCTTGATGTGGGTTTTAAAACCAGATACTTTCTGCTACTTATGCACCTCGGTATATGTGCTGTGGCATTCTTCTTCACCCACACACTACTTCCCCATCCAGAAATTTGGCCCATCTAAATAGCGATTCCTTAAATCAGTTATAAGAAGTAGTCCCTGCACTTTTACTTGGCTCTTTCATCATTAGACTTCAAGAGACTAGTCCACAGGATCATGGAACCCAGAAGCTGAGTTAACTCCATGTGCAAACCCAGATTTTCTGCTTTCTCTTTCTACTCAAAGGAAGACGAAAGCCAGAGTTTGGGGGTGGGGGTGGGCCACAGAACCCCACAGTGCTCTTTGGCATATTATCACCCTGCCAGATGTGCTCTTCTTTGGAAGTCTGACTACTCTGCTCTAACTGAGGATTTTTCTCATTCTCTTCCCCCTTCTAACAGCTGTGTACAGCACTCTTGCAAGACCATGGACTGCCAAGAGCTGGAAATTGAGAATGCCATGCTGATTTTCACCGGTGGGGAGCACTACAATGGTGCCCAGTGTAACGTTACCTGTCAAACAGGTTATGTCCTCCAGATTCACAGAAATGACGATCTACCCCAGAGCCAGGTGGGTTGAATTTGTATACCATCTGCCGTGTGATTTATGTTATTTATTTATTTATTTATCAGATTTATATAGCCGCCCAGCTCACAAAACGTGGCTCTCCGATGGGAGAAGAGAGGATAACAGGCTGGGAAATAAGAGTTTCTTTGGGGTCTTCCTTGGCTGTGGGATTGCAGGGGCTCAGCAGAGGTAACCTTTGATGTTAATTTCCTAGAGGGCAACAATATTGAAATATAGTATTGTGGATATAGATGGTATTCCTAAGAAATAAGTACCAGTTGGAGTATTTTTTTTTTTCTAGGATTGGGTGTGAGAAGGGATGGGCTGTGTTCTGATTAAACATTTAACCAGGTCAGTCAGTCAAAGATCTAGTGACTGTGTTCACACCATATGCTAAGCTTGGTTAATTTTAGTATTGGTTAGGGTTTGTTTGTTTTCCCCCCTTGGCTTAATGTTATGTGTATGAGAGAGAACACAGTCCTTTGGATTACCTTATAAATCAGTGGCTGTATTACTTCTTGGCCTTTTGGTTAAGATCAGGTGTAGGGTATTTACGAAATACGCTTCCTCTGGTGGCCCAAATAACCCATTTTTAGGGTTTCATATGATACATTGAGCCATAAAATAGCTGAATGGGTTGGATCAATACAATGGATAATAGGAAACCCAGCCAAGGCTAGCCATAAGCGAGTTTACCTTGTGTGAATGCAGCTACTAGGTTATACATGTTGAGCAAAGGAAAAGAGTGGGTTAGTTCAGTCACCAAGTTACAGGGCGAACAGAACCCTGGGGTAAGCATGGGTGGCTGAAATTTCTCTGAAGACATACTTCTGGACCTTGTTTTAGTTTTGCTTTGAATCTGACTTTTTATCACCTCTTCCCCACCTCCATCCCCATAAAAAAGGCTTTGTTTTTTATCCAGATATGGTGTGTGCGTGTGTCTGTGTGTCTTTGCAAAGAATCCACCCTTTCTCGGAGGCAGCGCTCTGCAGCTTTCCAGACCTTACTGGCAGATGCCCAAAGGGTACCCAGTGATTAAAACATAGCTGTTCCTCCCCTTTGCAACAAGTATTGCAAATAAATAAACATGAAAACATGGGGTGGGAGAAGAGAAAGACATGTTGGATGAGGACCAGTGCTAAATCTCACTCCTGCAAGAAACCAACAGGCCATTTATTATGCTTTTGGGGAGAAAGTCTGGTGAAGTCTTTGACCTCGCTATCACCATCCAAATCAGGGTGCCTCGTTTTGGCAAATCTGTCTCTGGGTCAGAAGTGTGGCGTCTTCCCGTAAGAAACAGGAAGATATGTCGGCTTCTCTCGTTTTGGAGGAGCGAGCGCACCATCTGGGCCTCTGTTGTGAGAGATCTTACCCTAACATGGCCCCAGCACTGACTGGCTTCTCTTCTCTTCCAGGAGAAAATTGGCAGCTCTCTTTCTCTTCTCCAACCTGCCCCCCCCCTGCACACCCCACCCAAGCCCCAATTGCTTGTTTATTTCTCTCTATTCACAGAGCCTCGAAGGCTCTTTGCAGCAAAGAGAATCCAGAATTTTTCAGGAAAAAGAATCTTGCTGTTTCCCTGTTTTGTTTTGCTTTTGGATGCAAGTGGGGATTGCAAAGAAGTGTGTGTGCGCGCGCGCGTGCGTACATGCAGATCTTAATTTGGAACCCGCTCTTTACTATCAGCGTAGGCTACGCTGGAGGTTTCCATTCCCTGTGTTTTGCAAAACGCTCCAACCTTTCCTGAAGTTAGGGAAGAGAGAGATTTGGGTGGTGGGGAGAGATGGACGGAGTCAGCCCATTGAATTCAGTGGCAGGCCAAACAGGATTTAAAATCCCCCTGGCTCTACCCCATGGCCTGGATTGTCTCATGCTAAACGGCGTCACAGCAGCAGAACACCTCTGTGGCTGAGCAGTTTCTGCAGAACAGAAAACTGGTTCTGCAAGGAGCCTGAAATGGATTGAAGGAGGAAATACTTGGAAATCAGGCTGAACGTCCAGAGAATGTGAGAGTCCACTAACTAAATACAGCCGGCCTATATGTTTCACCAGCAGAGTAGTTTGTGTGTGTGTGTGTGTGTGTGTGTGTGTGTGTGTATGTGTGTGTTTGTGTCTATGTTAGGAGCCAGAGCCAGCTAATGTGCCTGGTTTTGATCAAGGAGTCTTGTTTCCAAGGCAAATATGGATGCATAGTTAATTTCACTACCCTTTCACAAACAACACTGCATGACCCAGGTTCCTCAGTCAGACATGTTGGACCACAGCCCCCATCATTGCTCAGTGATGGCAGAGCTCATCCATCACGTCTGGAGCTGCCAGATTGGGAAACGTTATCCTAGCAAGTGTTCCCATGTGTCAGCCTAGCCCAGGGGTGCACAATGAAGATTCATCCGTTCTTGTGGGACTAGAGCAACATCACTCCTCACCTGAAGCCTTACTTAGGCAGATGGGCATTGGAGTCCAGCCATGTCTGAAGAGCTGCCAGCTTGACCATTCCAGGTACCGCTCACTGTGGTTCAGCGCCCAGAATAGGGACCTCTCAAAATCTTAGCCCGCTGGTGAGGAATACAGGCTGGAGCCTCCCTGGCTTGTCTCGGCCATCTCGCCACAAGAAAGCAAGCTTAAAAATAACATCAGCAGAAATCTGAAACATACTGGGGAATATATAGGGGGGAGGGGGAGAGGGGAAACAAACCAGAAATGTCTTTTGCAAGGGAAAAAAAAAATCTTTGGGGAAATCGAGAGCCAGTTCTGGGCAGAACCTTTCTGATACTGCAATTGCCAAGCACATTCCGCCACCCCAGCACGCAATGGTGTTCGTTAATAGCTCCTCTGCTTCCTTCTCTCTCATCTCTTCATTGAACCCCCTCCTTCTTTTGTTTCCCACCCTCCTCCCCTCTCTCTCACCCCCCCCCCTTCATTCAAAATCTGCTGTTTTCTTGGTTGGTGGCTAGGTATCATCTTGGCCTCCCTTTTCACTCCTGCTGTGGTCGGGAGGTGCTATGAAAAAAACCTGACAGCTCCAAAATACTCTGTAAAACTCCCATCAATCATGTTGGGGAGAAAAAAGGACTTCTCCATGTGGGTTCTATTAGAGGCAGCATGGAGGTTCTGCAGAGGAAGGCGTGAAGCGGGCAGTTGGCCTTTGGGGAAAAGGATTCGGAATTTAGAAACAGAGCTTACAGAAAGGGATGGAGGTAGAGGATGGAGTTTCTCTGCCCCAGAGCCACGGTGCCCCCTTTTCATCAGCCCCAGTATTATAGCCGGGGGTCAAAGATGATGGGGATTGTAGATCAACGACGACAGGAAAAGTTACACAAGATAGTTATCTGCCCTGTGTAAAAACATGCATGGCTTTTCTTAAGGGGTAAGATTTTCTGGGATAACTCTATTGATTTGGGTTCCGATAATTCTATGCCGTTCCATTTCTTTTCTGGTCAGAATAAAAGCTGCCCGTTGCAACTTTAGGTTTTGTTTTTTATATATATATATATATAATTTCCCCCTGCCTTCCTCTTCCCATCTTTCCTTTCGAGTTGTAACATTTTGATTTCAGACCTGTTGGCATGAAATGGATTTGAAAAAATGTGTAAGCTACTTTGGCAGACTTTTCAGCTGAAGAACCAGAAAGAATGTGATGCTAAATAAAGTACACCAAGCGAAAAGTTTCTCTGGAGCTTTTCAGCTAAAGTCAAGGGACCTGGAGGAATTTATTGGGAAAATTACATTTGGGCTGGATTCGATTCAGGCATGTTTAGCCCGTCCCCTAAAATCAAGAGTAAATCTCACTGATTTCATTCGTGTGCTTGTGCTTTTTAAACTTCTATTTCTCTCTCAGAGGAATAAATATAAAAAAACAGTAAAGATTCCTTCCTTTTTAGAATCTTTAGGAAATACATAACGTATAGGGAATTGTCACATCTTTTATTGAGCACTGTTGATTATACTGGATTTGTTCTAGGAATGACTAAGACCGCATTCAACTTAGGTAAAGTGGCTTCTTTGAGTCAGGCTCCTCCTGAAGATTTCATGAATACATCCATGCAATTTTCTGAGTAAACATGTGGACCTGGCTTGCTTGTGCCTTAAACAAGGCATCAGGAAGCCAGTTCCACCTAGTTGCCCAGAAAATTGTATTTTTCCCCCCCTTAATTTCTCAGCCTACTCTTCAGCTCTGGGATTTCAGTGTGGCTTTCCACCCGAGGGCTAACCTGACTCAACTCAACTCTGCTTAGCTTTTCTGAGATCACTGAAGGTCAGTTAAAGGGTTCCGCTTGTAGAGGGACAAAGATCATGGCAGCTGTTTTTAGCTATGTAGACTTTGAACGTTCAAAAGTGGTAAACTTCTGAATGCTAATTTTGTGCAGGGAGGAAGACCCAACCGGAGGTGCTAATTTTGCTGAAAGATGCCCCTGAAACATCTGTTTAGCCCTTTTAGGAAGCATGACACTGGACTTCATACACACTTGGCTTGATCCAGCATGGTTCTTTTAGCTATGTTTGCTTTTTTATGGTCCTAAGCGTCCTTGCAATTGTCTCTCTTTTGTCTGTGTTTGATAACTCCCACCACCACCATTCTTCTTTGGATATTGCAAGGGGTAGAGGAAAACCCACTCCTCATCAGATTTCCTCCCTCGTCAATGGATAGCTGTGTAAAGCATACCTTTGTAGTTTGCCCTTGATTTTATTAGCTTGGTGAAAGGAAGGGTAGGATCTGTGTGCCCGTTTGTGAGTAGCCACCAGTCTTCTCCCAGCTGGAGGTATGCAGAACTGCTTTTTCCATCCCAAATCCAGACATCTGTCAAAAGCAGACAGGTCCTAAACTGCTGAAACCATTAAGCAAATGGGGATTCCAGAGTCTTTTTGTTGGGGAAAGAGAAGTCCTCTGATTTTCATAACTGCTTCTCAGTCCTTGACAGACGTTCTACTGCCTTTGCTAGCTCCAAATCAGATATCCCCCCCACACACACACTTTTAAAAATATGTATATAGACCTGCAGAGCCAGTCTGGTATGGTGGTTAAGGCACCAGGCTAGAAAATGGGAGAGTGTGAGTTCCAGTCCTGCCTTAGGCACGAAGCCAGCGGGGTGATCTTAGGCCAGTCACTTTCTCTCAGCCCTAGGAAGGAGGCAAT